ATTTTCACAATGTTGGTTCTTCCTATCCATGAACAAGGAATATCTTTCCATTTTCTGAAATCCTTTTTGATTTCTTTTTTCAGAGTACTGTAGTTTTCACTGCATAGATGATTTACTTCTTTTGTTAGATTGATTCCTAAATATTTTAATTTTTTGGATGCTATTATAAAAGGTATGTTTTCCTTAATTTCTCCCTCAGTGTGTCTGTTGTTTTTGTATAGGAATGCTATTGATTTTTGAGTGCTGACTTTGTATCCAACTACATTACTGAATTTATTGATTAATTCTAGGAGTCTTCTGGTGGAGTTTTTGGGTCTTTCATGTAGAGTGTAATAGCATCTGCAAATAGTTATAATTTCACTTCTTCCTTTCCTATTCTTATTCCTTTTATATCTCTCTCTTGTCTAATTGCTCTGGCTAATGCTTCCAGAACTATGTTGAATACGGGTGGTAACAGTGGACATCCTTGTCTTGCTCCTGATTTTAAAATGAAAGCTTTTAGTTTTTGTCCATTTAGTATGATGTTGGCTGTTTGTTAGTCATAGATGGCTCTTACCAGGTTGAGGTAAAGACCATTGATTCCTATTTTCTGTAAGGTTTTTATCATGAATGCATGTTGGACTTTGTCAAAAGCTTTTTCTGCATCTCCTGAGATGATTATGTGATTTTTGTCTTTAGCTTTATTGATGTGGTGTATTACATTGATTTATTTGTGTATACTGAACCATCCCTGCATCCCTGGGATGAATCCTACTTGGTCATGGTGTATTATCTTCTTCATGATTTGCTGAATTCTGTTTGCCAGTATCTTATTGAGTATCTTTGCATCTATGTTCATTAGGGAGATTGGTCTGTAGTTCTTTTTTGGTTGGGTCTTTCTCTGGTTTTGGTATCAATATGATACTTGCCTCTAGAAATGAATTAGGGAGAATTGCATCCTTTAACCAAGTGATTTGAATTTGTGTAATTCTGTTTTCAGGAACAGTTATAGTTTGTTTCAAGTTTTTCCTTTGTGCAATACCACACTTTCATAAATAATACAATTTTATAATAGAATTGGACTTTTGGTAGCATTTCCATGTAAATTTAGAACCAGCATATCATTTCCTTTTAAAAAGTCTACTAGGATTTTGATTATTATTACATTAGGTCTATAATATTATGAAATGCTTTCTCCACATCTATCAAAATGATGATATATTTCTCTCTTTTTGCCTCTAATCAAATAAAATTAATATTGTATTAATTGATTTTCAAACACTAAGTTCCTGAAATAAAATTCACTTGGTCATGATGTAGTGTCTCTTTAACATGTCACCATGTTCTATTTGCTAATATGTATGTGTGTTTTGAGTGTTTTAATTTACATTAATGAAAAAAATTACCTCTAATTTTTCTCTCCTGTAAGGTATTTATATATATTTTATTATTAATTTTTTTGGTTCATAAAATATAGAGATTTTATAAGACTGGTGTAATTTATTCTTAAATGTTTGGAAGAATTTTTAGTAAAGCCACCTCTTAGAGTTTTTTGTGGAAAATGTTTCAATTTTATAATTTTAAATAATGGTTGATCTCTGTGCAATAGGTAAGGGACCGTTCATTCTTTCTACTTCTTCCTGTGTCAGTTTGGTAAACTGTATCTTTAAAAGAGCATTCACTGCACACAAATGGTCATATGTATTGAAGAAAAACATGTTTAGAATGCTGTTCTAATACTTTCCATATCTATGAAATCTATAATACCATGCCTTTTTCTATTCCTATTATTACTGTATTTTCTCATTTTCTTGATAAGCTTTGCTACAGGTCTATGAAATTTCCTTAGTCTTTACTGATTCTATTTTTATTATGGTTTTACTTAATTACTTTCTTTCTTTAAACTTTAGTGTTTCTTGTTACTTTTTCTAGATTATCAAGTTCTTTCATCACAGATTTTAATCTTTTCTCTGTTAATATATACATTTAATATTTTCAGTTTTGTTATATGTACTTATATTATCTACACTCAATAAGGGTTGATATTTTGAATCTTAATTAGCTTTCAGTTAAAAATATTTCCTAGGCTGCCCTCACACCTACAGTCCTCCTGCCTCAGCCTCCCAAACAACTGTGTTATAAGTATGTACTACCCTAAGACCTCCCACTTCCAAATAAAAAAAAAGACTGGGTATATAACTCTGGAGAAAGGCCCTGGGTTCATTCCCCAGTACCTCATCCTCCACCACACAAATTATAATTATTTTTGTTTAACCTAAATATTACTTAGATGTGTCCCTTAATTTCCAAGTAGTGAGATTTTGTAGTTTTTTTTTCCCTTCATTTTATTTTCTGTCTTTGTTTCATGTCAAGTTTAGGTTCAGAGTGGTCAGAAAATATGCGCTCAAGATTTTGATCTGGGAAATCTATTGAGGTTTGTTTTATGACCCTAAGTATGAGCAGTTTTGATAAATGTTCTACATGTCCTTAAAAATAATTTTAATTTTGCCATTATTTGGTGCATTTATGACAATTTGTCAATTTTGGTAATTGTGTTGTATAGATTTTTTTTATACTTATTGATTTTTTTGTCTATTTGTTCTGTCACGTATTCAAAAAGGTGTGATTGTGAGTCACTGTGACAACTTATTTTTCCTTTTTTTTTTTGGTTTTGGTTTTTTTCCAGTACCAGGAATCAAACTCGTGACCTTACGCTTGCCAGTCAGGCACTGTGCCACTGAGCTAAATCCCCAGCCCCTCTTTTTAATTCTGTCAGTTTTTGTTTCATATACACATACAGTGTTATTTGGTGTATTCAGCTTAAGAATTGTTGTATGTGTCTGACAGTTATTATCTTAATATCATCTTAATATAGTAGGGCTTCTTGCCTTAAAATCTGCTTTGTCTGATATGAGTGTAGCTATGCTAGCAATAGTTCAGGAAGTGTTTGCATGATATATCTTTTTCTATCAACCTTCTTGTGTTGTTATATTTAAGGTTTGAGCAGTTAACTTTTTTATTTAGTCTGATAATCTTAGTCTTTTTAATTGGAGTATTGGTCCCTTATATTGTAATTATATTTGTACTTTTATTCATTATCTTATTTGCTCCATATATATCCCACTTAGTCTAAGTTCTTTTTTTTCTTTTTCTGACTTAAATCTTTGTAATTTGATTTTTTCCTCTAGTAGCTTGTTTATAATCAGTTGTACATTGCTTTGCTCTTCTTTTGATGAAAACCATAGAAACATGCACCCTGGACTTATTACTATCTAGTAAAAATTATTATTTTAGCCACTTTTCCAGTAATGCGAGGATTTTAAAATACTTTTAGCTCTCATATGTCTTTTGTGTTTTTAAATTTTTAAACTCAAGATATTTTTAATATTACTTTATAGAGTTAATATCTATTTTTACACATTCACATTCACAGTTACTCTTTTTGACACTCTTTATTTTTTGTACTCCTTATTTCTGCCTGGCATCACTGTTCTTTATTAGAACTCCCTGTCATGATTTCATAGTGTTTTCCTGCTGAGCTCCATTGTCTTAATACTTTCTAAAGTATTCATACTTTATATATATTTTATTATATATTGTCTAAAAGTGTTATTACTTCATCTTTATTCAAAGGAAATTTTTTTCTGAGAATAAAACCTAAGTACATGTTGCTGCATCAGATACAATAGTCTTACAGACAAATGCAAACCTTACTGAACTTTAAATAATTTTAAGATATAATTTTAATAATTGATAATGTTTACACTGACCTTGGTGTTCTAGCTGATGGCATGTGATTTCTTCTAACATTCTGCTTCATTCTATTAAAGTCATATGTGATTTAGAAAGAATAATGCCTCAAGCCAAGAGTCAGTTCTACCATTTACTCCTTGTGTGACCTTGGCCAAATCATTTAACTACTCTGAGCTGATTTCCTTACCTGTAAAGTGGGAAAAACTTGATATTGACTCGAGCTCCCTGGGAAGTTATGAGTTTCTTTTGAGATCTATATGAAAATGTTTTTAAAATGTACCAATCACATACAATTTTTTATTATTATTTACTGGAATGGAAACATTTTCAATGCATATATGCAGAATTCTCTTATGCCTGCACATTTTCTTCAACAACTGCAAAAGAAATTATAGTATCCTTGTAGTTTTCTTTACCTATGCCCTTCTATGAATGAAATAGTGTTAAAAGTCATATAAATTTATTTCTAATCTTTTAAGCAACTAATATGAAAAGCAAAACCTAGCCAGTTACATAATTCATAATGCCTATAAGATTAAAAAGAATCTATCATTTAGGAATAATAGTCTTACTATTAGATTCAAGGAGGATTTTACTTTTTAATTTTCTTTATAAGGTAGAGCAATTGAAAAAGGCTTCTTTGCTGGTGTAGAGGTAACTGATTTGCATGTTTAATACAAATCAGCATTGGGTTGATCTGGCCTTTTAATGTTCTGTTTCATACTCCCCAAGGGAGAATTATACACTTTAATATGAGCTGAAAGTAGCTGCTTTCCTACCCTAATTGCAAATGGCTTATGTTCAGAAAACTAGTAAAGAATGTGTTTCCTTTTAAAAAATTCATCAATACAAAGCACAGGTTAGGGTGATAAATTAAAATTGTACTTTGCATACATAGTATTAAAAGTGCCTTAGGAAGACAATATTTAGCTGCATTTTATTTTTCTTGCATAGAGACTAATTTAAAAATTTCTTATTACATTGATCAGATTTTTAGAATTATTATTATATGCGGGAATCTTGCTAACTATTGTTTGTCTTTTTTTCTTTGAAAAAAAAACCGTTTAGATTTACCTTTGTATTTTATTCTTTCACTTTATAAAATGACTATCTGTTTTGATAAATATGCATTTAAATGGGGGGGAAAACACCAATATGAAACTGCAACACTCACAGCCAATGACCTCATACCTCTGAGGTTTTGTATGGTGGGCAAATTTAAAATCTTACATTTGTTCCTTATTTAAATTCTTTGGTTTTGTCTTCAGGTCACTGGCATGCATTTTATATGAGATGTGCTGTATGGAGCATGCATTCACTGGCTCCACTTTCTTGTCCATTGTTTTAAATATTGTTGGAGGGGATACACCTTCGCTTCCTGAGAGATATCCACAAGAACTAAACACCATCATGGAAAGGTTTGGAAATAAATCTGTTGTCCCAGAAACAGTTTTAAATTATGTTACTACCTTTAAGTGAAATTATGCTTTAGTTTATTTGAAAAATAATTTTCTTTTTTAACATTACAGTATGTTGAACAAGAGTCCTTCGTTGAGACCATCTGCCATAGAAATTTTAAAAATCCCTTACATTGACGGACAACTACAGGTATTTAAAATGAAAAGAATACTAAGGAAAAGGTATTAGCATTTATATTCATGTTTTATAACTTGAGGATGTGCTGTGACAACAAGATTCATTAAGAATCCACCAGAAAGTAAAGAGGAGCAAGATTAAAAAGAAGCTGAGAGAAACAGCCAGGACAGTCTCTTTGCAGAAGACAGTTGATGAATTCTGATTCCCTAGTTCCACCAGGAGTGGGACCTTAGGAGTCGACTTCTTCCCTAAACTCCATGTCCACCTTATGACTCTTTGGTGGGCAGACTGTACCTCAGTATGCTGGAAATACAGCCCTGCTAGGATAAGAACATACTAATAATAACACTACAATCTGGGATTTTCTTTGAGCATTTATTATTCTATTTCTTTATTATATAATTCAATACTTAATGTTTTATTGATTAAATGAGTTTAGTTTGTTTTCCTGTGGATTTGAAAATTTAATTTGGAGGATCTGCCTCAGGTGGTAAGAAAAAAGCAAATGGCTCCTCTGTGGTAGTCTTTTTTCTTTTTTTAACTTCCCAGGTTTTTGCAATACTAATCCCTCGGGCAGTTTCTTCTGATTTTATTTATTTTTTTTATTGGTTCTGGGGATTGAACACAGGACCTTCGTACTGAGCTACATCCCAGTCCTTTTTCAAAACTTCTTTATTTTGGGACAGGGTCTCACTCAGTTATCGATTAGGCTTGAATTTGCAATTGTCCTGCCTCAGCCTCCAGAGTATTGGTATTGTTGCTGTGCCCCATTCCTAACCAACTTTCCTCTGATTTTCATGGAAAGAATAAAGCAACTCTACTAGGAAGCTTCAGTAACTTACAGTAACTTAAGTAGGAGCCACAGAGCAACCATCTTTCCTTACAGAGCCAAGTTGTAAATGCAGTGGGAGCAAATGTTGGTGATGTGTGGTCGCTCTGCATGCTGAGCTCTGTGCTGAGACTGGGGAGACCAGAATGAAAGGGACAGGCACGGTTCCTGTTCTTCCTGCTAGTGAAAGAGCCTAATAACCAAGGGAAGCTAAGCAAACAAATGCTGTCATATACTAGGGAGAAAGTAAGCAGGAGGCTGTAAAAAAAAAAAAAAAAAAAAAAAAGAGCAGGTAAGCCTGCCAAAAGCAGCCAGAGAATCTAAGAAACAGCATTTGAGTCACAGAGCAGGGCGCCAGGTCCCTGGGTTACCTGGTGTTCCCTGAAGGCAGACGGGGAAGGGAAGATTCTCAGGCAACCACCTGCTCCAAGTGGAAGCTGAGAAGACCTGGGAAAGCAGGAAAATATGGAGAGACCAGCCGACGGTCCTGGGTTCTTTCCAGCTTGCCCTTTGTGCTCCCGCAGCCTGTCTTCTGAAAAAGACATCTTGCTAGCTGTTGGGATCAAAAACACCCTAAAGCATCCATGAGTGTACAGAATGGGTAATAAAAAGGGCGGGGATGGGAGCGGGAGTCCCAGCAGATCCGGATCTACCAAGAGCAGGATGAGACCGATGAGAGCCACTTGCCCTGGTAACACCAAAAACTTTGGTGTCACTCTTTTTTCTTTTTTTTAACTTCCCAGTTTTGGTAACACCAAAAACTCATACTCAAGATAAATAATATTTTAAGGCAATAACTTTAAAAAAATCAAATCCCTGGCAACAAGCAAAACACCAAAACTTTAAAAAAATGATCAGCAGGGGCCAGGATGCGGCTGAGGTAAGTAAGGCAGAGTTGTGCACGTCCAGAGTTGGATCTTTCTTTAAACCTTCGGTATTGTATTCTGTATGGCTTTGTGGCACTGCTTTTGATTTTTAACATAATAGTTTACTAAAGTACTATTCATCTGGGAGGCTGAATTTTTGGTGGCCCTCTGTACCCTTTGCCTCATCCTAGTCCTGGCCTGAGGAGCATGGATCTTGTCCATCACAGGCTGAGGAGGGAAAGGCTTGTGTGTGTTGGAGACGGAGGAGGCCTGCGTGTAGCAGGGAGCAGGGTGACATAGCAGCCAGGGCAAGGGACACTGAAGATGCCGGCAGCAGCGAGACCCTGCAAGATCTTCTCCCATAAACTGCCATGAAATTTTGTGTGACCACTTTAAAGGGAACAGTTGTTACCATGAGCTTTGTTTTCAAGCTCCCTCCTGTGGTCAGTTATGCTCCACACCAGAGCTGGCACGTGGTCGTTTTATGCCCTCGTGGCTGAAGAGGAACACTTTAAGATTTCCAGGGTTGCTGTTCTTTTTTTTTTTTTTTCCCCCCAGCATCTGATGCATAAATATTCGGAAATGACTCTGGAAAACAAGAATTTGGATTGTCAGAAGGAAACTGCTCATATAATTAATGCCATGTAAGTAATTGCTTTGTTTTTAAAAAGCCCACCCAGCATAAATGTCAAATGCATTTGTCTCTAAAACCCCATAGGGCTAAGCTATCTGCATGGCTTCCTACAATTCACTGAAGTGTTGCCAAGAATTAAGGCGCTTCAGAAACTGGAGTTCCAAAGCCATTGCCCCAGGTGGTAGCAAATCGCAGTCACAAAAGTTTAAACCACCACACTCTATCAGAACTGCAGGATAGCTCTGCAGTTGCCTCCTAAATGCACAGAGAAATTAGTGTCTCAAATAATATAATATAGAACTATTTATGTTAATGAGCTCTCCATGATAATAAGCATAAATAGCTTTCATATGTTGTTTGCTTAATGTGAACTGGAAGAATATCTGCTTAAGTAGAATACTGTTTTGTCCTGGGACAATTGAAAATAAAATTAATTCCTTGAAATATACATATACATAAGAACTACAGGAAGTATGCTTCCCAAAGAACTATAATGAATTCTTGACCTAACTTTTCTTTCCCCTCGTTCAAATTTTTTGTGCTGCAACTTGCAATAGCCCAGAATATGAGGCTACATAAGAACATCTATGTATAGCTGTGCAGGCTACACATTGCACAACACCAGGGGCTATTTCCTTTAAAGACTAAATCTATAATTTTGAGGAAAGAGCTCTATTTAATCTCATAAATATCAGTCCTTTCCTAGAGGTATGGAAGGTAGTGGAGGCCCTCTGTACACTGACCTTCAAGGCCAAATAGCCGGGTGGTTTCCTGACTGCAGCATGTTTGTTTTCCATGCTTATGTTCAGACTAAGGAAACTGGCCCAGCAAAGACACCAGCCTAAAGCATGATCTCCAGTAAAGTGCATTGCATGGGGCAGTGAATTTTTAGGCATGCTCATAACAACCTCGTTTTCTTAGGTTACATTTATTCTTTCCAGAAAAATTGGAATTTCTAATTTTATTTTGTTAACTAGAAATGTGAAAATAGGTGATATCTTTAAAATACTGAGCTAATTTAGCTATCATTTTGCACTGCAGTTGTGAAATCGTTTGCCTGACTCTGTTTACAATCAACAGTGTGCTAGAATCTACTTGTTAGGAGGGTACTTCACATTATGAAATACTGATTTAAGTTGGTCTCTCTTATCTCCAAGATCTATGCCTCTGTTTTAAGGAGATCTGTTTGGTCTTACTAAATAATGGATATGTCTTCCTGAAACATCGCACATCCCTGGGAGGCTCTGGTCTGGATGATATTCCAGAGGGATAAAAACTACCTAGAGCAATCATTATAGTTTACTTGTGCTGTTTCTTAAAGATGGAATTGAGTGCAACAAACGTTCTCCAACACTGGGCCCTAACCAAATTAGAAACATCAGTTAATGTCATTGAGAATTTGGTTGTAGGTCTTTCAATGCCAGGTCAATGTGAGCATGCTTCTTTAACTGAATGAACAGGTCCTTAAATAATATTGGCTAATATTATTGGGGAGACAATTATCATACACTTGACTTTTAAAATTACTTTACATGAATTTACTCATTTAAATGTAGAGCACCCCTATGAAATAAGTGCCATATAAATTTTTTTTTTATAATCATAGAGAGGTAACTTGCTCAAGAGCATGTAGAATGTAACCTGTAAGCTCAGCTTTGAACCCAGAGAATGTTATTAACCTGTGTGATAAACCACTCTAGCATCCTGCCATAAAACACATTTTGGATTAAGCCTAGAATATAAGTCATATTCAGTAAACATTGGTTGTTATGGTACTATGGTTTTGGGATACTTTTTACGTACCTTCATATAAAAATTATCTTAAATACTATACTTACTATAGTCCATTCTTTAGATGACAAAACTGAGGTTCAGTTTCTTGCCTATGGGTGCAGAACTAGAGTGATGGAGGTGGAATTCAAACCCTGCCTTACTCCGGTGATTATGCCCTTATCCACATGGTTGAATTGCTCTGCCAGTCTGTTTACTTTCTAGTGGCTGAGATCCTAATTTGTCTTACATTATGAAAACCAGTCGTAGGCAATGAAATGAGCCGAAATCTGGAAAGCACAGGATTTGCTTTTAAACAAAAATCTAATTTGAAAAATACTGCCTATTAACTTCAAGTCCTAGCTGGCTCATTACCTATACAGAGCTTATTAGTTTTTCCCTGGCCTGTCTCAAGATGCTTTTGGTTTCTCAGTAGTGTAATGATATGTCTATAAAATATTTGTTTAATTTTTCTTAGTATGTCTGGAATGGGTTGCATGTGGGGAATCTTTATTATTCATAGGCAGAAAAAGATCCACCTGCAGACTCTGCAGGCGCTGTCTGAAGTGCAGAAAATGACACCGAGAGAGAGGATGCGGCTGAGGAAGCTCCAGGCAGCGGATGAGAAAGCTGGGAAGCTGAAGTAAGCTGCCTTTGCTTGGGTGCCCTGTGCCCTATACTACTTTATAGCCTCTCAAGGAATTCACTGAAAAGAATAAAAAACCAAGAACAAGAACTGGAATGCACACAATTATATATTAACTTGCTTAATTACTCATTCACTCTAAAGATGATTATGGCGGCACAGACTGGGTGCCAGGTACTGTTTGTATCAGGCTCTCAGTCTTGTGTGAAGAGAAATACTGAAAATCTGGTAGGGTATCAGTGATGAAGGTAAGGTCAGCCTCTAAACGGAACTCAGTGTTGCTGACACTTTCTACACATACCCAGCAAGAGGCCGCAAAAAAGGCTATGGGATGCCAGTCTCATTCCCTAGCTGCTTCTGCCAGAACCCAGCTGCGGAGAGAGGGCAGCTTGTGGAGGGAAGTAAACTGAAAATAGCTCCGTCCTTTCAAACAAAGCCTTTGGGAAAGTCTGCAGTCAGGGTGGTGCTGCTGGTATGAGATACCACAGTAGTTCAAGTATTCTTATGAAGAAGTTTAATCTTAAGCAGTGCCCCGAGTGTGGAGGAAATACTTGTACACTGCTAACAGAAGTGTAATGGGTGCAGCCGTTATGGAAAGCAGCATGGAAGTTCCTCAAAAAATTGAAAACAGAGCTTCCATATGACCTGGGAATCCTATTTCTGAGTTTATATCCAAAGGGAATTAAATCGGTGTGTTGAAGAGGTAGCTACACTCCTGTGTTCACTGCAGCGCTATTCACAGCAGCCAAAATACAGACTCAACTTAAGAGTCTGTGGTGTAGATGTACACAATGGAATTTGATGTAGCCTTGAAGAAATGGAAATCTCACCTGGTGCAACAACACGGGTGAGCCTGGAGAGCATCAGGCTAAGGGAAGTGCGCCACGTGCAGAAGGACACATGCAGTACGTGTGCATGTGTATGTGTGTCTGAGAAACTTGAGCTCACGGACGTGGGAGTCGAATGGTGGCTACCGGGTTGGGGGAAGGGCAAAGATGAAGCAATGTTAGACTGGAGGAATCTTGGAGATCTACGGCACATTAGTGACTAATGATAAGGTCATATCTCCATATGAACATGGCTAGGATGGTAGGTTTTAAATGTTCTCACCACAAAGGATGATGCTTGTGAAATGATGGCTTGCATACATATATCAAAGCTATAATATAAATGTGTGCACTACCAATATAAACAATTTTTGTCAGTTAGACCTTAATAAAGCTGAAAAATACACATATGTAGCATCAGAATTTCAAAAACTACTAGAGCTGAATTTCTTAGACCACTTTTCCAGTTGTCCTCGTCTTCCTTCCTCCGCCCGCTTTTTGAGTCCCAAGCAAGACCTAGAGAGGCAGAAAAGGCCTGATGCAAATCTGTTCATTTTGTGACTACATTAAGATATCTGAAATGTCGTTTAGAGGCTTCCTTGTGTTTAGAACAAATGTAATGATGAACCAAAGAACCCAGGAGACTATTCCTCCCTTAACACGTGCTTCCTTCAATAAGCAGAGAAACAGGTTTCCTCCAAAGTGCGTTCTGAGCAGTGATGTACTGCTAAATATTGAGTTTAGCTCAGGGTAACCAATTCTTGAGCTGTGCATATGCCATCAGGGGCAACCAGTGTGATACCGCGGAAATGCTCAGTGGGGAAACTACACACGCGAACTGCTCTCAGGAGCCGGTACGAGCTGGTTTCTGCAAACCAGTGTGACAATGGGCATAGTTTTACTGGGAAAATATAGCCACACAAATTGCTGGAGCCATCACGACTCACAGCCCCAAATCTATTTCCAACACTTAAAAATGCTAATGTTTCCAGAGCACTATGATTGACATAACTGGCTGAGGGTAAAAGGGAGATTAAATTTGATATTAATAGATTAAAAAACTAAATTTAATCATATACATGTATATTACACATTATTCATATTAAAACTACTTTTACGGACAAAGTCATAAATCTTCCACATAACACAGTAATATTTTTATTTATCACAATATCATTTAAAGGCAATGCATTCCATATATAATATAACCTTAGTTTTATGACTGATTTGGATTAGGGTTTTGATCTTCACTCCTAGATTTCAGGAGAGATTGTGTATTTTATCTAGAAAATGACTATTGTCAGAAGAGTTATAATGCATCGATTTCACTGATAAAAGAATTTTACTAAACGGATGTTAAGTGAGTTGTCAGAAAATCTAAGTGCACTAAATGCACATTAGTGCACGAGTAATCATAAGAACTTAAATCTTTCTTCCAGCTTATAACCCATCTGTTAAACTCAACTCTGCTATAGTAGAGCACAGACAGTGTGTATGTAGAAAATTTCCTTTAGTGATTCCCATATATTTTCCATGAATTCTTTGATGTGTAGCTTGGTTTTCCTTTTTAATGGATTTGTTTTTGCTGAAAGCATTTTTCTAATTATTAGCGTGTGTTAAGCACTGTCCTGGGCATTTGGGACACCCCAGTGTCACACTCAGGACCCACAGGGATGGATGTTTCTTTCCTTCTGTGGCCTTTGAGGACATCTAAGGAAGACTAAGAAGCCAGGGCATTCTTGTGTGTGCTTTTAAGAGAATCACTGGGTGCTGATGCTGTACAGTGCCAGGCAGGAGAGTCCTGATGTCCTGGCCTTCCCACCCTCTTGTCTGCCTGTTGAAACAAGGGTCACACTTAGCTGTACAATACAGCTATGGATTCAGCAACTTGAAGTTATTTTTCTACATTCACTTTAAACTTTCAGAAAGATCGTGGAAGAAAAGTATGAAGAAAATAATAAGCGGATGCAAGAGTTGAGATCTCGAAATTTTCAGCAGCTGAATATTGATGTACTCCATGTAAGTACCCAGTTATTGTAAAGCTCACACAGAACCTGTTCTTGATGCAGATTCTTCAGATTCATGGGATCAGCCATGTAAGAGAAGGGACAGAGGAGAAGACAAAAGCACCCAGACCAACTTTCCCCAATTTCAGGGGGGGTTCTAAAATGTAGGCCAACAATCGGTGACAACAGGAACTTAAGGCAGCTTTGATCACTTGATTCTTCTACAGATATTGAGTGGCTGTTGTGTTTGAGATAACTGAGTTGGCACCGAATGCATAGTTGGTGAGTTAGAATGATTAATTAACAGAGCAAATATGAATATATGTAATTTTAATTCTACCAGTGCTACTGACGTTTATCTCTTTAGTTCACTGATTTCTTCCTGTCTTATTTGTATTCTTTTTCCTTTGTCTTCTATCCATATCATTGTGGACCATGTTCACAGCCTCATTCAAGCTGTGAAGAACTACCTTAGATATCTAATAAGGAATAGGATTAGAGGTTCACATGGCATGGACCCCAAACTCACGTTCTCTGTGTTCCAAATCCCTGCCTAGAGCACATCATTTTCACTAATGGCTGGAATGCTGCTATAGGCCTTGGCATAGGCTCTGATACTTAGAGTAGTCTTTTTGGGGTCATTTTTGAGCAGCTGACATCAACACTGACTTCATAGCTCTCTGGTAAAAGCACCTTGGGGTGGAGACATTTCTGATTGTCCATTCAGTGGAGATTCCATGTCTGAAAGATGTTTTCCTCTGCCAGGAAGAATCAGTCTCCTAGATGCTGTGGGACAATCCCCTGAAGCCTGAGAATGCTAATCTGCTCCAGCTTGGTTAGAAGAAGGCTCCAAATCCTGGGACATGCAGGAACCCTCAGTAGAGCTCACTCACCTCTGGACACTTGTTTTCTGTCCATTTCTGAGGGGGAGAACTGCCAGTGGCCTTGCTTTCTCAATTGTATAGGGATTCTATGTGCTTTAGACTTCTAAAATCCAAAGTTGGATCAGACAGAAGCTTAACCTCCTCTGACTTTAGGAAGTATCACTCTGTGTATTGGACCAGTTAGCAGCCAGTGTGGGGATGCTAGTGGTAAGTGTTCCAGTCCAACCCCCTTGGTACCCATCTGGCACCCTGGTAAGTAAAGGCGGCTCTGGATCTGTTGCAGGCCCCAGAGGCTTGAGATGAGGGTGTTCCAGCCAGGGAAGATGAGTGGAGGCATTGCTGTTGAAAGGGCACTGGGGTCAGCAGCAGGGCAGGATCCCTCTGAAAACTGAGTGTCTTTCATTCACTCCCCATACACTTCCTAGGCCCTGCGAGGATAACCTGTGGAGATGGATCTTTGTTTCTCATTCTGTCTGCTTTGTCCCCCTTAAACTGACAGCTACACATTCCCACAGATCTCGACAGGGAAGCTAGTAGGATTGTAAGGATTTTGTGTTCACTGAGTGTAGGCTACTTGCTCAATAAGTGATGGAAACAGGCCTGCTATTTTCTGAAACAGTCACAGACCTCTAATTCTAAATTTTTTTTCCCTAAGATTGGAAATTGAGAGCTATAGACATGGTAATACTTTGTATTATTAAACCTAAATGACTGTCTTGGTTATTTTTCTCTAGTTGCTGGAACAAAATGACTGACACCCAAAATTAAGGAAAGAAAGGTTTATTTAGCTCACGGTCTGTGGATAATCACAGTTTGTCCATAATCAGCTGAATCCGAGGCAGGGTGGCAGGGCAGAGGGGCCAGGGTTCAAGGCGGCAGAAGACAGCAAAAGCAGCAAGAGCGCAAAGGGTGGAGACCAAGCCTCTTTTCCTCCCTTCATTGTTTAGCAGGCTGCCACCCCTGAGGGCGAGTGTAGGCCTCACACCATCTCCACGCCCTTCTCTTGTGCAAGATGAGGAAGTTTGATAAGTAAGGACCCTGGCCTCCTGCAGAGTCGCTTAGTTAAACTTCTCAACTTCTGAAGGTGGAACAATGTATCAGCTATTACAAGGACTTTATTTTAAAAGTTACCGTATGGCAACTAAAAATGTAATTTGAAGTATGATTTTAATTATTAGTGCCTGATGATGTACTTGGTTTTTATGATGTTCCTCTCTGACCATTCAAGGTAATCATTTTTGGTTCTTTTGCTTTCTGATATAGTTATCAGCATTATAATACTACTCAGTGATGTCCTGTCCTTCCCTCCTATGAATCGATCCCTTTGGAGGTCCTGAAGTACTAAAGATAGCCCTGAGACCATATGCCAGTCAGAATCTCAAGAGACGCTGTTATCCATATGTTATACCACAGAACATGGCAGGCAGCCAAAGCATCCTAATCTTGGCCCAACTCAGAGGAAAAGAAGATTCACAGAAATCGGAATTCTCCATTTATCCGCTTCCCAAACCCATCCCCTTTCTATCAGCGAGGAGCAAAGAGAGCAGGGAGGGAAGTGCTCAGCGCTGTACTGCCCAGAGACCTGAGTTCATCCTTCAGTCTTACAAGATTTAGTGTCATCAGCGTCTGTGACGCTGAGCTTTCTAGAGTGCATTTTCCAAGTTTACGTACTGTTGGAAGCAGGAAATGCTCCCAGCAGAGGTGAAGCTCTGCAGTCTGTTCTCCCTGAGGGCTGTGTCCTCTTCCCATCCGGTTCAGGCCTGCACATCTGCTCAGCATCCCCGGGCTGCCTACTCCTTTTCATGCTATTGCATGCACTGTTTCCTTCCGCCTGCTGTTAGCATCCCACCGTCCCTCCTTCAGATGTCTGCCTTACTTCCGGAACACCTTCCCACCTCTCAGGTCCAATCAAAGGCCCTCCTTCAAGGCCCTCCTAAACTTAACACTGTGCCTGAGTCACCCATGGATCTTGTGAAAATGCAGATTCAGACTCATTTGGCCTCGGGTGAGATGTTAGGTTTCTAACAAGCCTCTGTGGTTCTGCTGCTGGCTCAGGGCCAGGCTGGATTCATTCCAGATGGGGTAGGGCTCTGGGAAGCAGAGTTTGTATCCAGATGAAGGAGGACCTGGAAAAGCCACTGATGAACAGTTCTTATAATCTTTTTAGGCAAAAAAGCATTTAATAGGAACAGAAGAAAAGATGGAGCCATCTCAGGGGAGATTTTCTTGTTTGCCCCAGGAGGAAGATGGAGCGAGGCAGCCAGGCAGGCAAGAGACAAGTTTAATCATATTCACCAGCACAGGAGTGAGGCAGATTTAATGATATCCACAGAACAGAGGAGGAGAAAATGCAAAGCAAACCCTTTATAGAAGGACCTGAAGGGTTTTAAACACCTTAGGAAAAGGCAGTGAGCTAAAGAAGATAAAATAAAATATAAGAAAGAAACTGCATTAGTCAGATGCAAGAGGGTAAAGAAAATGTGATGAAGAAGAAGAGGGCACTAGAAATGCTCCTTCCTGAGTACTTTCCCCTCCCCCACCTCTACGCACATTTATGATCTAATTTGCACCTAATCTCCCTAGGGGTCCTGCTTGGTGTCCTCTTCCTTCTCCCTTGCCTTGCTGAAGCAAGCCTCCTTATGCTGTATATAAGAAGCAATTGGAGAGAATCAGAGTTAAGGGAGAGAATGGGTTTCCTATGTCACAAAAATTCTTTGCGGCATTTAGGAGAATGGCTTGCTCTGTTTTCTAGACCCTGACTGGTGTCTTTTATTTTGGCAGCCATTTTCTGCTTGGCTGAATTTAGGCTTTGAGATCTTGAGGCACAGTTGAATGTGGAATCATATTAGGCATCATTTCTTTAGAGGATGGTAGCTTAAAAACATCTAGGTACCATAGTATTCAAGACAAGTCTGTGTGTATGTTACTCTATGGCATATACTGCTGTGCTGGTTCTAAAACTGGGTCTCTGTGAAAAGTGCATAGCAGACCTGATCTCCATAGGTGGAGTGGTAATGGGGATCAAAGACCAGATCAAGTCACTCTCTTCCGAAGAGAAGCAATTATAACAATTCTATCTCTTCTCTTCAGAGAACCTTAGTAAATCAAAGTCAATTGAAAGCCCAAGCACTTATTGTCAAATAACTTCTGAAGTACATGTAGAGACACACTTCACGTACTGTCTACTCTTTGTTCTTGAAGTCCTCTGTGTGCTGTCAGTGATCCTTTGAAATTAGGAAACTGATTGTGCCTCCTGAAACACTGATTATACAGTACAGAAAATGAGCTTCTTAAAGCTCCTGAGACCGTCCTCTCACAAACGCTGCAGCGGGCTTCTTTTTACCTATTCATTGAAGATGACTTTGGACTTTCTTTCTACTTTTATTCCTAATCAGAAGACACTCCTCAGTTAATTCCTCATGAAAGCCATTTGTCAGGGGAAACATACACTCTCTCCCCCCATACACCATTGCCCTAGAGAAGAGAAAGCAAAGTGATTTATTGAAAATATCTGTTGATGTATTTGAAGTGCTTATTTTTCTCTCATGTAGCCTCTTAGCATTTTTTCCTTTAGGAAACTGGAATTCACAGGGTTGCAGAACTTTTAAAGCCAGGAGAGAACTTGGAATTCTTCAAGCCAATGCTTGATTCTGGAGAGGAGGAGAATGAGCAGGGCTGGGATGGGCGAGGCAGGTGGACTACAAGGCGCAGAATGGAAGGAGGGGCTCGCTCCCCACTGCAGATGGAACCTGCACTTGCCTGGGTCTGGGTGTTGTGCATCTCGGGCCTCCTGGTTGACTCTAGTCATGGTCCTGAACCTTGGGTCCGTGGAGGTCAAATGGTTTGCCCAAGGCCACCCGTTTCATAATTGAGGGACGTTTCTCTTATCCCAGGTTGCTGTCCTGACATTTGAACATGTCACCAGGTTTAAGGGAGAGAATTAGGTAGACTTTTATTCCTAAATAGTCTTCTAAATAAGAATATTGTTTCATTGTGTTTGAGCTATTTCCTTCTCTCAGCTTCTCATGAGTTGTTAATTCTCTCCCACAAGGAATTAGATGAACCAGCTTCAGAGAACCTGCCTGAGACTCAGCCTGTTCCTTCCCTGGAGCTCGGTGAACTTGAGTCAAGCGTAGAGGACACCGTAGTTGACCTTGGGTATCATGGTATGTGTTTGCATCAGCTGTCAGTCTTGGCCGCCTCTGTGGTGGTCCTCGCTGGCCTCTGAGAGAAGCACTGGGTGTGTGTGGCCACTTGCCATTAGCTTGCCAGGGCTGAGCTGTGACCAGTGTGAAAAGCAGAGAAGCCAAGGGTTTTTCTGTCTTCTGTCATCATCTTCCCCTCCTCTTTCCTCTCCTCTCCTTTTCCCTCTTTTCCTTTTCTTCTTCTTCTTCCTCCTTCTCTTCCTTGTCTTCCCCTTCCTTCTTTTTTTTTTTTTTTTTCAGTACAGGTGACTGAACCTAGGGCATTCACACTGAGCTATTTCCTCAGCCCTCTTTATTTCTTTTGAGATAGGGTCTTGCAAAGTTGCTTAGGCTGGACTAGAACTTGTATCTCTCTGCCTCAGCTCCCAGGATGCTGGAATTACAGGCACTCTCTCTCTTTGTAAAAGTGGAGGTAAGTTGGAAGCTCACCTTGGGAGGGGTTCTTCTGAGTGGGTTAAATCAGATGGTCATTAATCTGACTGTGAAACAGTGGAGGACCGACTGTGCATGCTGGGAGGATTGTTTTCCTCCCCTGTAAATAGTTCCTCATAAATTTAAACTGAAGAAATGAAGCCAAACTTTGGAAACTCAGACTTGCAATCATTGTCAGAAAATTAAATTCCTGAGCACCATCACCCAAGCAGAGGTGGTTAAAAGCATGAGTTTTGGGGTAGATAAGCTGGCCCTGTAGCGAAGCCCCTGGGAACTTAGTCTCTCTAGATCCTACTTTCCTGATCCATGAAACAAAAGTAATAGTAGCTCCTCTGATGATCATTGCAAAAAGTAAATGGGACAAGCATTTGAGAAGTGATTTTAGCCCAGCGCCCAGCACAGTGAAAGAGGTGAAGAAGCAGCAGCACTTTGGGGAGTTTATGGACGTGGGGGCCTTCTCACTCTTGCTCAGCAGTCTCCCCAGCTTCTAGAATAAACTTTCAAGAACATTATAAGCACTGAGGAAATGTTTCATGACTGAATGAATGAGTGGATGAAGATATGAATGCATGACATGCTTGTCCAGACCTGTGATCAAGTAGATACCAAGACAGGACTAACATGCATGATTATTTCTAGGAAAAGTGTCTGCATGGAAAGAAATTGGGAAGGAGTGAGGAAAGGCCGAGAAAACTGTCAGACTGCAATTAAAGTCTTATTCTAAATAAAAAGAGAGAAGGTTTGGTGGAAGTGTACCATTCTGCTGTGTAGTCGGAGGCAGCAGGAAGTCCTCCAGGAAGTTGGCAGCGGGCCCTGCCTTCATATCCCCGCTGGGCTCAAGCTGTGGCCACTGGGGTGGAGCACAGGCTCAGAGAGGTGCAGTGGGATTTCAGAGCCAGCAAAAGGAATCCTGGGCCAGCCATACTTCTCGTCGTTGGAAGTCTGCCAGGTGTCTCCTTATAGCCACACAACTGCTGTCTTGGTGAAGTTACATCTCTTCTCAGACTGCAAACTAAGGTAGTGAACCTTGGATTGTTTTGTAATTTCAGCCCAAATTTGCACTTTAGTCTTCTTCATAAACTGTGAGAGCTTGTGCTGCCTTTCTCAGTTGTTGTGAGACAAGGGCCAGCTTTTAAATTGGTGCTGTGGATGCCATCTTGTAGTGGATATTACTGGCAAACAGATGTGTCTATCGGACAGATTTGTGTTTTAGATCTTTTTTTTAGGTGTTTCCTTAATATATTACTGTTAATTTCCAAAAGTAAAGTTCGGAAGTGTAAAATATCACATGGGCCTTTCTTTTCAGGAATAAGCAACTGAAAAATCTGGGCCACTGCATCATAAGTCATAAAGAATAGGCTGAGGCTCGTGAGCCAGGGCCACCCAAGGGGATGACTCCCTAACTCAGCCACTCAGATGTGGAGGCTGCAGAAGAGTAGGCCTCACCAGCCTGCCCACAGCCTGATGCCTGTTAGTGGGGCTCTGGGGTGCTGTGCTCTTTCCAGGGATCCTTTCCAGGTTCTTGTTCTGAACAAAGAATTGGACAGGAAATGAGGTAGTGAGGTTTTACATTCAGTAAAGGTAGGAAAGGGAGTATGTTCTGCAGAGTGTGTGTGAGTCATTCTGTAGTAGGGAAAGTAGGGAAAAAATACATCATGCAGGGTGTAGAGCAGGCTGGTAAAAAAGCCTCACAGTGCACAAGAGGTTAATGGATGTCATTATTTATGGCCCCAAGTCTGACCTTGGATCTAGGCTGTCCTGTCGAAAACCTGCTTGCTCTGTGTCAGAAGAATTGAAGATAGCTTTCTGCCAGGTGCAGGGCTTGGAAGGTGTACTGCCCATGTGTCCTGAGTCTCCACCATTAACGGTCATGCTCACCTGCCCAGCCACTTTGACACACCCTACACTTTGGTCCTACTACCTCTAGTTTCCCTTTCAGCAACTCCTTGAATGTGTTCTGTGCCTCCTCTAAGAGCTTGGTGGAAACTCAAGGGGGTTGTACTGTACTTTGCTTGCCTATAGAAAATCCATATACCCTTTTCAGTTGTGGGCATGGGGGGAGAGAGATCTCCTCTACCATCCCTTAGTTCATATGGGCTGGATGTAGGAACATCCAGCTGTTCACACAACAGCTTATTAACAAGAGAAAAACATTTATTAATTTTACATGTACATGGGGATCTTCACAGGAGAGTGAAATCCAAAGAAATGACCAAAGCATGACACTTTTATTGTTTTTAAAAAATAGTAAACTTGTCGAGAAATGACAGGTCAAATGGACTAGGGTAGTAAATCTTAATGATTTTACTCAGAGATATATGGGGGGAGATGTAGAAGCTAGTGGAAGAGAGTTATTTCAAAGAACTTGTTTCTTCAGCTTCATTGCAGATCCAATTACCAGTCTGTGGTGACCAAGGGTGCTTTCCATTGGTACATGAATCATATCACTCCAGAAAGGGCCTTCACGGCCTGCTGCATGTAAGGAAAAACAGGCCAAATGGCCCTTTGTATAGTTGCAGTTCCTCAAGTGATTTCAGCTTGATGTAATCAATACACACTTTGGGAGGCTTTAACATCTTTAACTCCTTTATGTGCTGCCTTATGACTTATGACATCATCTCTTCCTTTTAAGTGTCCAAGTGGGAATATGGTTGTTTGAACTCGGTAAACCACTTAACCATTTTCAGTTAATCCCTTAACAGTTCACCCTACGTGCCACTCCACTCGGACAGCACGTTTGTTCATGTACTGCCTTCCCCAGTGTCACTTGGGCAGCATCATTTCAGCCAATCAATGCTTGTATTGAATAATTCTATAGAATTGTCATTTTATATTTCCTGTTATGTTATCATATAAAAATCAACAAAAAATGCAATTTTTTGTCATCCTGAATTTAAATAATTGGACTGATAAGTGGTTAAGCCTGTTTTTATTTTTTTCAATTTCAATTTAAATTTGGAAAAAGAAATCCTCTATTGACTCAACAATTGCACTTCTAATTACTAGAAAGAAATGAAAACAAATATATAGGGGATCTGTACACAAGTGCTCTTAGCAGTTTTACTCATAAGTACTAAAATACATGAAACAAGCTGTGTCTATCAACAGGTATGTTGATAAACCTATACAGTGGTACCTTGGTTCATGAACACTTTTATTTGCAAATAATTTGGTTTGCAAACAGAAGCATTTGGCAAAATTGTCTTTCTCTTTGCAAACTCTGCATTAGGTGACAAACATAACTGTGTCTTTCTTTCCCACACATACACAAATATAGCCATCTTTTCCAAAATTGTAGAACAAATTAAATTCATGAGCTGAGGTACCACTTAGTTTGTCCATATGATGTGTAGTACGTGGCAATGAAAAGCAGGAGCTACCAAAACACACCACAGTACATATAAATATAAAATACTACGCTAAGTGAAGGAAGCCTCATAGGAGAGTTTAGACTGAATAGCTCCATATCTCTTGTCAAAACTAAACAAAAGAAGAAACAAATCTCCAAACAAAAATGTTGTGTCTGGAAGCAGTTCAAAACTCAGAATTGCAATCTGGGACACACATGAGCATTGAGATGGCCTTTCTAATGTTGAGAGAATAAAGGAAGAGTTGTTTCTATTAAGACAGAGAAATCTGCACATTATTAGGGCAGAAGGTTCCTTGGCACTTGTGGAAATTGGCAAGCTCTGATTGGCAAGTGGCAGCAGTTTTCCTGTAAATTTAGTCTGAAGTCCACAGTTGGCAGTTTCATCAATTGCTCAGAAAAAAGTCTTAAAGGTAAGATAGGCCACTTGGTAAAATTGGCTTTATGGGGCAGTTCCTGCAACAACTGATTACTATGTGAGCATTTTCTCCCTGTGGCCTCTCAGCTCTGTTTTAGATGGGTATGACAAGGATGTGTTCATTTGTTGGCCAAGTTTCTACACGAAGGTCTAGGACCAGCAATATTTCTTTACAGTGAAAGAAATGAGGCCAGCGATTGCCAAGAGTGGTAGTGGTGGCAGGGGGAAGGGACTCTAGAAAGCCACAGGGAACTTGCAGTGGTGTTGGAAAAGCTTAATATCTTGATTGTGGTGATAGTTACCCAGATTTATATATTTGTCAAAACTCATTGAACTCTGCAGCTTAAATCAGTGCATCTTATTGTCTATAAATAAAGTTGGTAAATAGAACACTGTTAACACATACAGGAAAAAAAAGAAGAAAGAAAATAATCACAAGTAATGCCTAACTATCAGTCTTTATTTTTGCTAATGAATGGAAAGAGATGTAGGTGAAGTCACAAAAACAGAAAATAACTGGGTCAATTGCTAGCTGGGATTCTTAGTCCAGAAAGTAATGCCGGGGTTTGGGATTTTCTTCTCAGCCAAACAACATTATCATCTAAAAGGTGTGTTAATGGAGTTTTGAGGGCTTCTCTCAGGAGAAAACCGGAATGTTTATAGATGAGAAAATAGGATCTTTTGACTGTCCTCTCCTCAGTCGTACAGTTGGAAGGCTCACATTTGATTAGCAGAGAAACCTGC